CTTTTTGTCGGTAAGGAGAGAGGCTGCCGGAGAGTGGTGGCCGCGGCGGAGGCGACTGCTGTGGTTTTTCGTGTCTGGCGGTTTTGGAAACGCATGAAATCTGGATATGACACCTAGATTTGGTGTTGTGCCCAAACTCGACAACTATTTGATGTATATTTTCTGTATATCTTCTGTATATATATGCTTTATATGTGTAGTATATTTTTTTTTTTGGTTGTTTGTGTAGTTGCAAATATATATTCTGTATATTTTTCGTATATATACTATTTATTTTTCATATGCACATAAAAATATTTGATGTATATTTTCTGTATATCTTCTGTATATATATGCTTTATATGTATAGTATATTTATACTTTTTTTTTTTGTTTGTATAGTTGCAAATATATATACTGTATATTTTTCGTATATATCAGGATTTATTTCCTTTTCCATATTGGTTTTTATCTTTTTTATCATCACGTGAAAAGCGATTTCATAATAACTGATAGGTTACAACTGTTCAGATTTTGTAACTGCATCTGGCATATCTGCAATTATTTCATCCCTATTTTATAGGAATGCAATATAATAACATTCTATGGTATTTTTATAAATACTTTATTTGCGCTAAGTATATATAAAATTTCGCCTTTAATTAATGCTTAAGTAGATGAGAAAAGAACTTTTGTACTCTGTATAAAGAAGTAACTAATAATTCGTCAACTAGTATGTAACCCGTGCGATGCACGGGCTAGTATATGTTTTGAAAAAAATTAAAAAATTAAAAGGTCATTAATTAATAAGTTATCATAATACGTATGACATTCATAAAGTAAACATAAATTCGTCATTGGTAAAAAGTTATACATTATTAAAAACCTCCTTATATACAACGTTATTAGTTTGATTACCCCCACCCACGGTGGACACATGTTAATATGCCCACCGCTTATGTGGCATGCACACATTGGTGATGTATTTTTTGAACATATTCACATCACCAATGTGTGCATGCCACTTCCATGGTGGAATATTAACATGTGCCCACCGTGGATAGGTGAGCATTACTCGGGTAACTCATCGTCCCCACAAACTAATATTTTCAAGCTCTTCCTATTAGTAAAACGTGAAACAACGACGTATAACTGGCTATGACTAAAAATAGATTTTTTCAAGAACATTCATACATGTGATAAAGACTGACCCTGACTCTTGTTTATGGTCATGACATAAAAACCATATGGGGAAATTGCCTCCCCTGGAACTTAAACGGAACCCTAACATCAGAAGGAGTTATGTTCATCCGAGGAATCAACACCTTCTCACCTGCGTGATCTCCAGTCAATATCCTACATTCAAGAACATGCGGAGTGAGCTTCGTAACAACCAAACGTGTGTCATTACACAGACCCATAGAATGGTCCATGTTTCGCAACAACATAACTGGAGTTCCTATCTTTAAATGCAACTCATGGTTTGGCGTTCCCGAACACCTCGCCTTCGTTAAGTACACCTCAAAATGCTCCCATATTTGTAGAACGTATTATGCCTTTAATAAATGCGCCCTACAAAATAAATTTATAAATATTAATTAAAATATTTTTTCAAATTATATAAATTTGAGGTTACAAATGAAAATATTTACATGTTCACCATGAAACTGTATATGGAATGCGTTCCAGCACTCCCGTTCGTGACGCGTTTCAATTATTCGGAATGCTCTCAAACACAAATAAGGTTTGTTTGTCTTACTCACGGAATCGAGTGTATCCCAGACTGGCGACATTATATTATCGATGTGTTCTGAAATTGATCTCTGTATTTTTTTTTTCTCTGAATGCTGTGAATGATGTGAAGAAATAATGGTGGTAGTGAATATCCTTTTATACAACTTTTTTTAGCCAAAAAGTGATTGATGAAAATTATTTAAATGGAAAGATATAGGTAAGATTTTAACCAAAAGTGATAGATGATAATTATGGATCAGTTTTAATTAATTTTTTTTGGCAGACCCCTTATTAAATGCAGAATATGCGGCCTTCAAAGGGGAGATTTATATGGAGCCACAAAAGAGGAGATTTATTTAGATTTTGATTCCATATTTTTTATTATATTCGTAAAAAAAAGTCAGAAAAATAAATATGCTAATAAAGAGTCCGAATTGTGAAAAAAAAAAAGGAAAAAGTTTGAGTCCGAGTTGTGAAAAAATTAATGCAATGGCGGGATTCCATAAATATAATGATTTATTCCATAGTATCTATTGCAATTAATGCTCGCTATTTATTAGGCTGAAAACAATAATAAGAGTGATTTTAAGCAATTTTGTTAATTTACTATTTTTAGGCAATAATTAATGAAATTGGCGGGAAAGAGTTTTTAAAAGTGAGTTATGTTAATCTTTATTATATATTAATAGATTTAAATATTCAAATTCGAGTTTGTTTGATAAATGAATCAGTTCGGCCTAGGGATGAGAAAAAAAAAAAAAAAATGGAATTCGCCACTACAGAATTGGACTGAAGTGCTCGCGTTCTGAAAAACTTGACTTCAAATAGTACCGTTCCTCATATCGAACCATTTCAGATAATGTAGGCATCAACTTTAAATATATTTGCCACAGCCCATCCCATTTGTCTCGTTTAATTACAATCATACAAAATATTATATATATATATATATATATATATATATTATGGATTGGTATTATATATTTATATTGGTATTATACATTACATCTGTTAACAATGTAATGTTTGAAAAATATTTGATGACTTTTTAGTTTTATTTTACTGTAATTTGAAATATTATTATTATTATTTTTTGTCCTAAATCGGCTTGGCACAAAACTATTTTGTCCTCGTCCCGAATGATATCAGTCTGTTTGGGACGATGTCTCATTCTGAACTGTTCTCAAACCGGTTCATAAAAGCATAAAGATACCGGCACAAACCAAATCTCGTATTGTCTCGGACCGTGCCCGCCCCTAGTTTCGGCTCTAGTAGTCTAATATTCAATAAAAGACATGAACTCGAGCTTGGCTCAAAGCTCACCCCGGTTTGATTTTGCTTAGCAAATCCTAAACCAAACCTCAAAATCATAAATCTCAAATCCTAATTAATTATATAATTGACAACGAAGCGCAACTTGAGTGGTAAGACGTTTCACATATGACTAATTATGTCATGCGTTCGAGTCGCCGCAGAAAGAAGTGAGAACACTATCATTCCTCCTTAAAAGAAAAGAACAAAAGAAAAATAAAAAAACTGAATAAATCATTTCCATTTACATTCGGCTCAACTCGTTAATAAATAAGTTCAATTTGTCTTTTAGATTTGGCTCATTAATTTTACAATTGAGTCAATCACAATTTTTCAAAAGCTATTAATAGAGATGAGAAGATAAAAAGAACTTAGGTTTTAAATGTTAGGAAAATGCTACACTCTCGTTACGGAACCATTCCATTAAGATTTTGTTACGGAACCATTCCATTACGATTTATGGTTCCATAGTCTTACCCTTAAATTTTAATTCATGTTTTTCATTATAAAAAGTACTATAAAAGAAGAAGAAACTGAAAGAGCAATCGATCGAACCAACAAAAGCCAAAAAAAAATTACAACCGCTATTGTATTCCTGCCATAAAACACCTCTATTAATAACTATAAATCAACATATAAAGACAATATGAATAGGAACACTTGAAACCATCTCGCGTTTAGCATGTACAGCATTCGATATACATCTTTTTCACATAAATAATTACAAGCAGAGAAAAACACACAAAGGTCCCTTAGAAGCCCACCCATTCTCACTTGCCATTTGGGCCGGGTTTAGCGAACGAGAAGTCATCCTCGTTCCTCGTCTCGTCCACATTATGAACCGGGCCAATGGGCTCGTTTGCTTCGGCCCGAATAATCAAGCTGGTGGTGGCCTTGGGGGGCGTGGCCGGGTCCTCGATATCCGATGCGTAGAGGTCGTCATCAGGCCCAATCGACCGGCCCGAGTGGCCCGTTGTTTTGAAACGGTGTAGGGTCGGGTGGAAAGGGGAGCCCATTGAGGATGTTGGGCTCGCGGCCCCACCAAGGGTCCGGGTCGGGGACCTCCCTCCACGCCCACCGTGCTTTTTCTTCACGGCCATGTGCCATTTCTTGAGGGCCTTGGAGGTTTGCTCGTCAAATATCGATTTCTTCATGTTCGACCCCATCTGTATTTGTAATTTTAATAAATCAAGTCCATATCTTCAAACATGCGCGCAACACTTTTACTGATATAGTAAAGAACTAAAAAGTTATACTAACTATTATTGAATCACTAGTATAAAGAGAGCACCAAGAGGGACTATAAAGATCGAGCGCTACCTGAGCAATCAATGCATAAAGAGGAAGTGTAATGTAGCTGCATAAGAATAGGACTCCAAACCTGTTAAATTAACATGTTTTGATTCATCTTATTCATACACACCAAACAAGTGAAACTTAAATAAACATTGGCTGTTTTTGCAAAGAATGAACGGATGTGTAAGTGTGACATTACCCTAAACCGATTTTCCCGAGGATAAGTCCTAAATTGTCGTGGAAGCAAGATCGTAATCCGAATTCGTACTGCATTACAAAAAGACAAAAAAAAAAAAGAAAAATTGTTACTCATAATGATATAATTAGGGAAATTAATAGTGATACACAAGGAATGAAGGAGCTCATTACCCAAATCCACAAGAAGTATGTCACTTGGAAAGCATTCTGCACGAAAATAAAAACAATTAGCGTACAGGCACATATATTCAAATAATACAAACGAGAGGAAGTAACAAAAACGAGCTCAAGAGCCAGAAAAGAACATCAATTACCTGAAACAATGCAAAGTGTATGAGATAGAGAACCAACTGTGGCCGAGCAAACCAGAAGTATTTGTCAGAGCCTTGCACGAGAGGTATGCCCTGGACTACAGCATGCCTCTCGGTTATCTCAAGGGCCATTCTCGTCAAGATAGCTTGTAGCTTTGTACCAACGGCTAAGACTAACTGAAAAAACAAATATCTCGACGTAAGGTTTTATTTATTTAAAAATAATTATCTGAAAAATCATATTCAGTGAAGAGGATCTTACAATCAAAGGAATCAAGGAGGCCCAAAACAGTGTTTGCCACCCTAATTTGGATCAATGTACAAGAAACTATGTTAGACACCGAAATTTGTTTCAAAAAAAAAATAAAAAAAATTCTTGAGAATATGAAACATAGACTAACCGTGAACGTTTAGGAGCAAGAACACTACAAACGATCCCCACAAGACAGGACTGCCATCAAAGGAACAAAGTCGAAACGCAAAATCAGCCATGTAATTGTGGAGATTATTAAATTAAGGCATAAAACTAAGGATTTGACTAACAGAAAGCTTACCTTACTCCCACAACAGTCTTAAAGTCATCCTCTAGGGACCTTTTGATATATTTTTGGAAGTTGAACTTGCTTCCAGGTGCCAAATGAACCTAAAAACAGCGAGAAATTTTAGTAAATACCGAAAGAGAAGAATGACAACCGCAGAATGAATAATAATTTTTATATATATGGAAAAAAAAGGATGCAATGATGAGAACTCACACTTATAAACCCATTGCGCAAGGTTAGGTAATCAGACTTGCTCACGGACCTAAAGAATTGCCGAAAAAAGCATCCCTACATAAAAATAATGTTTTAGTAACACGAAACTATAAATAGCATCACTAAACAAAACAAGAATGGGAAAGAAAAAAAACTAAAAATCTCACAATATAAAAGAAAAGTGGAACCCGAGTCCAGAAACTTGTGTGCGCCCTCACAAAAGATGTCTCGTGAGTCAGCCTGAATCTCGAAGGATCTGTCAAGGTCCATGGTTATATTCCCAATCAGTTTTGCAAAATTTTAGAGGATAGTTAGTTAATTAGCAGCTAAATCAAGATTGTGAGTCATCATTATACCGTTCGAAAATTCATAATCCTGAGACGCAGTCTCCAGTTCCCACTGCTTCCACCCACGGATCTAAACATCATAGTTAAACGGATCATAAAATGCCACAAAAGGAGAACAGAAAAACATCTTTATTAGACACTCGGAACTAATAATGTACCTTGAGTCTTCCGAGAGCCATAGTAAGAGCACTGTAGATCACATGAAACACTGCTAAAAAGAATATAAGGATATGTATTTGGTGCAGCCCATCCACTGTTATAAGTGGTACTGTCCCCTGTGTAAAAAGTAAGAAACATCGTGTTAGAACCCAAAAAAAAAAAAAGTGAAAGCAAATCGAATAAAGATATGAATGAAGAAGAAAGAACAATTTACCTCCTTGCAAGTTTTATACCCACCACCGGCTAAAACCCTACGCTCGTAAGATAATAGCCTACGCCTATGTTCTTCCTTGTTAGCATCGTCTTTCGCACGACAAGGCAACATGGAGTTACCAACGCTTTCGGGTATGCAGATTTCGGCAATGTAATATTGACAGAACACGAGTGAGAGGGAGATGAAACCGAGAATCATCAGCTCTGCAAACAAAACCAAAACACGAGCAAATTATTATGAATCAAAGGATATTTATTTTACTTCTTTCCCAATACGAATTACGAAATGGTGCAACTAATGAGCAATCATTTGATTACCGGCTTTGACCTTCTCCAATGCCTCGTAAAGCGCTTTCTTATGCCTATCCGTTAACCACTACAAAAGATTTGAATATGAAATTAGCCACTTTAGAATGAATTTCGGAATCGCATCGTGCTACTAAACCGGAAATAAAGATATTGGCCATTCTTGAATAGAACTAAACAAAGGTATGTATAATATGTCATTTTTTCGAGAATGCTTAGGTCGAGCGACCTGGCCTAATACATATGATTTGATAGATATGAAAGAACATTCACATAATTCTCATACACCACCCAAAAAATAAGGCCTAGTGTTCATACAATTTAGATAAAGATCTTCATAAGGTCTGCAAATCAAAGAGAGATGTAATTTGAACTAAGAATTTTTATCAAGATTTCAGAGTCAAAATACTATATACTAAACAAGAATTCAACCCCACCTGACAAAATTATCCATATCAACACAAAACCATCACAACAAGAAGCTAATTAGGCCAAATATAAGTAAATAACATAACACAAGAATGAACCCAAAACAAAAAAAATCGTACAAACAAATCAACATAGAATCAAGAGAGACACGAAACAAGAGCAGAATCGAAACAACAATTTACTCGAAAAATGTCCGGTCAACCAGAACAGAACAAGAGAAGAAAACCCAAAA